CAAGAACACCCAAACAGACATCGTTTACCTAGATTTTGCAAAGGCATTTGACTCCGTTGACCACAATATTCTTCTCCACAAACTTAAACACTATGGCGTATCAGGACAGTTGTATGCATGGTTCGAAGACTATCTGAGCGGTCGTTGTCAACGAGTTGTGGTAGGTGGAGTTGCATATTCCTGGGCACCTGTAACATCTGGTGTGCCACAAGGAAGTATCCTAGGACCTGTTCTGTTTGCGACCTTTACAAACGATCTTCCATGTATGCAGATGACACCAAAGTGTACAAATCAATTAAATCGGAAGATGACTGTCAAATTCTGCAACACGCCTTGACCAGCCTTGAATGTTGGAGTCATGATAACAACCTAGATTTCAACCACTCGAAATGTAAGGTGCTGACCATCACACGGAAAAAGACTCCCCTCGTGCATGTCTATCGCATGAATTCAAAGGAATCGCGTGTGGATAAAGAGAAAGACCTTGGTGTTTGCGTCAGTGCCAACTTCAATTGGGATGTTCACATCCACACAATCACTGGTAAGGCCAACAAGATGCTCGGGCTGCTTAAACGAACTTGCCCTCCTTTGAGAGACAAAACAGTACGACGAACTCTGTATCTCTCGCTTGTTAGATCTCAGCTATGTTACGCTAGTGAAGTCTGGTCTCCACACACTGTCAAACTCAAGTCTAGAGTCGAAAGCGTCCAAAGAAGAGCCACCGCGTGGATACTACAATCCAAGCATGGCGAAATGACATACCAACAACGGCTAATGAATCTCAACCTGCTCCCCCTCTGCTATGAAAGAGAGATTTCTGATCTGGTATTCTTCTTCAAGGCTCTCTTTGGCAACACAGATTTGGACGTTAACACCTTTGTCTCCTTTTCCAACAACAATCGGACCCGACTCTGTCAAAATCCCTCCCTCACCCTTAAAGTCCCCCTCTGTAAATCCAACACATTCAAAGCATCCTATTTCAACCGACTAGTTAAAATATGGAACTATACCTGTAAAATTCTACCTCCTACCACCTTCTCCACCCTCTCCTCGTTTAAAAGAAACATTAGAAGCACATATGAACACTTGCTCGGAACAATGTTCGACATAGAAATGCCATGTACATGGTCATTAGTGCGTGACTGTCCATGTCATAGAACTAAGTAAATAGCCCTATTCACATTAGAGGCGGACGGGTCGTCTGGGCGAACGGATCGTCTCCAGGGTCGTCTTCACAGACAGACAAGTAGTCGAACAATTCAGACGACTTGTTCGTCTAAAATTTTGTCCGACACGTTTTCACATCTGATGATTGTCCGACTAAAAGACGATTTTGAGACGATTTGTTCGTCTGGACGACTTGTTCGTCTTCTGATGTGAAAACGGCTAATAACTGTGTTTCATGTTTGTGCTGTTTTGTATTGTATTTTGTTCTATTTTATTGTTTTGTATAGTTTTAGAATGGTAAGCACCTTGCATGGGACTTTATGTCTTGTTCGTGCTTGATTTTGTCCATTTGAGTATTCTACTTATTTCTACATAGAACTGTTGTGTTTAAAACGTTGTAGAACTCTCAATAAAATTGTTAAAAAAAAAAAATTTAATTATTGAAAAAACCAGGAAAAAAATATTTAAAAAAAAATTATTTCCGACCTACCGACCCTAATTTTTTCGCGATATGATTTGTTTTACGCCCAAAGATGGCAAAAGTAATACAACCTGTTATAAATTGTTTAGGATGAGACCTAAGAAGTCGAAAGATGATAACGAACCTCGAACTATAGCATGCCCACACAAGGTAATGTCACAAACAAAATTATAATAATAATTATGTGATAAGTTGGTGTAGACAACAATGCTAAAGACAAGAAATTTTCTTAGGGATGTACAAAAATGTTTCGTGATAATTCTGCGATGAGAAAACACCTTCATACTCACGGACCTCGCGTTCATGTCTGCGCTGAATGTGGCAAGGTAATTTAAGTATTTAAACAAACAACTATACTAAGGATAGATTTTGTTTAAACTCATCACTATCCCTGTCTGAAATTTGATTTTGTTTTTACCTAGGCATTCGTTGAGAGTTCCAAACTTAAACGGCACCAACTTGTGCACACAGGAGAAAAGCCTTTCCAGGTAAATTGCCGGGTGTCCCCAAAAAAATGGACACTGTTTAATTTCATGTACTTAGGTAAAAGCTATCGCAATGAAATAAATATCATTGCATTCAGAAAGGACTAACTTAGATTTTGATATACTGTATAACACTTGAATTTACATGCAATATTGAGCAAGATAAAATCAAAATAAAAGTATTTATTATTTAACAAGTATAACTACAATCATAGACAAATTTACTCGGACAAACATGGCAAATAAATTATTTTTTGAAACATTTTCATATATACTTCGTAAAGTCGGTCCCCCCTCCCCTGAAACAATGTTGATGAACACTTCAGTCATTATGGCAACTATTGCGGTATCTGTAGCAACAACATTGTAACAGGGGAGCGAGGAATACGGCTGAATATGCGTCTAATTATTTGATTGCTTTAAATTTCAGCCATTTTTAATCAGCGTCCGCATGTTATTTGTCTAGGATTGTAGCTACTTCGGTAATTTTAAGGTTGTTTTATTCTAATTTTTTGCATTTTCAAAAACAGTAGTTCAGCGTTCAAACATCAATAGCGCAGTCAATACTGCATATAAATTCAAGTGTTATATATCAAAATCTACAGTAAGTTAGTCCTTTCTGAATGCAATGACCTTTATTTCATTGCGATAGCTTTTATAGCTTTTACTTTACATGAAATCAAACAGTGTCCAGATTTTTTTGGAAACCCGATCAAGGGCGGATTTTCATTTTTTTTAAAGGAGGGGTAGAAAAATTTCTGGTGGGGTGCAAGCGGCACCACTGAGCGAGCTTCGACAGGGGTTAGGCATTAAGGTTAATGACTTTCACCCTAAATAGGAGGGGTGAAGCAAAATTTTGGTGGGGTTGAACACTTTATAAGAGGGGTTAGAGAGATTCTGGGAGGGGTTTAAC